CACTAAGTCTCTTGTCAGACCTTTAGTCAAGTGATCTGCCAAATTTTGTTGCGATTTCACAAACTCAACGGAAATCACACCATTCATGATTAATTCTCTAATCATATTATGTCTAACACCTAGATGTCTAGACTTGCCATTATAAACCTGGCTATATGCTTTAGCCAAAGCGGCATCACTATCACAAAGGATAGAAATAGGTGCTATCGGTTTAGACCACAAATGAATCTCATAGACTAAATTCCTTAGCCACTCTGCTTCTTTACCAGCAGCTGCTAACGCAACAAACTCAGATTCCATTGTCGAGTTTGTAATGCAAGATTGCTTCTTGGAAGCCCAAAAAATGGCACCTCCCCCAAGCAAGAATACCCAACCAGAAGTTGAGGAATGGTCCTCCATGTTGGTAATCCAACTTGCACCTGAATGACCTTGTAAAACCGAAGGACTCCCCAAATAACTCAAACCATAAGTCATGGTTCCCTTGAGATATTTAAACACTCTATTCACGGATTGCCAATGTTGAGCACTAGGATTGCTAGTGTACCTGCTCAACTTACCCACATCAAAAGCAATATCAGGTCTGGTACTTGTCATGGCATACATCAAGCTACCAATAGCCTTAGAGTATTCCAATTGTGAAATGGGAACGCCATTATTTGGCATTAATTTCACACTTGGCATTAATTTCACCCGTGGGGGCTCTGCCCCTCGACCCCGCCCGCTGACCTGGCAGCGGGACCCCAGCCAGGGGCTCTGCCCCTTGGACCCCGCCAAAGGGGCGCTGCCCCCGGACCCCTGACTATTCGTCGAACTGGCTTCTAATTCGATCTTATACATGCGTGCACTCCACACAACCCCGTACATATAATAGAGTACAAATTATGAAGCCCCTTAGCTCACATGTTATTTCCAGTTACTTAAAATGACATGGTGACACTAAAATCACCAACACATTAACTATACATGCTACTGGATAGATGATAAATGTTTGTAGATTTTCACCTCAGACCAAGTAAAATACACAAATTTACCAAACACCATATCCTAATCATCAATCTAAAAATTACAGAACCTTTTTTTTTAAATTAAACTTTGTAGTGTATCGGAGCAACAACTGATGATGAGTACCGGAAACACATTGAGAAGGACCCAGCATTGGAGAGACTATTCGAGCCCGTAAAGGTGCCAGAGGCAACTTTTGGTAGAACTATGATGATCTTAAAGCAGATTCAAAAAACATATGAGTATCACCACAAGCTCAGGTACACTCGAGAAGCATTACTAGCTGCTGCCCATCTGTCCTTTCGGTGCATAAGGTATGTCTTGCTCAATCTAGTGCCTATTATCATTCGTTTCGTGTGTGTGTGTGTGTATATATATATATATATATATATATATATATATATATATATATATATATATA